TTAAATCGTGTCTCTCCCCCACCCAAATTCATAACTCATAATGTGACCTTATTAGAAAGGATCACTACAGAGTAATTAATTAAGATAATGCTATAATGGAGTAGAGTGGGCCTCTAATGCAATATGATTGGTGTCCTTTTAAAAGGCAAAATCTGACAAACACACAAGGCAAATACCATGTGAACATAAAGATGGCCATCTACAAGCCAAGGACAATGGGCAAATGCAGACTCTCTCTCACATACCTCTAGAGGGAACAAATGCTGCCCATGCTTTGATCTCAGGCAGTTTCCAGAACTGTGAGCAGTAAATGTCTATTATCGAAGCCAGCAGTTCCCAACCTTTTTGGCATACGGGACCAGTTTCGTGGAAGACAATTTTTCCATAGACGTGGGGGAGGTGAATTGGTTCCGGGATGATTCAAGTACATTACATTTACTGTGTACTTTATTTCTATTATTATTACATTGCAATATATAATAAAAATAACTATATAGCTCACCATAATGCAGAATTAGTGGCAGCCCTGAGCTTGTTTTCCTGCAACTAGACAGTCCCATCTGGGGGTGATGGGAGACAGAGACACCCAAAGTGTGTTGCTTATGTTTAGTCTACTCCCCAATCTCGTGTTGGTTGCTATTACTGCAGAAAACCCTGCTTCACAAAGATAGGATATTGGAAGTGGAAGCAGGTTTTTCAGTGCTTCTGTGGCAATCTCAGGATATTCTGCCTTGACTTTAATCCAGAATATATGAAGATTTGAAGTTGTCTCAAACATACTTTTAAAGGCCACTGTCATTTGCAATCTCAAGCAGTTGATCCTCTTCTAGCAAAGACAAAGTCGATCCACCTGGCTTATTCACAAGTTAGTGGTGGATCCATTCCTTCCCAGTTTGGGGGTCTTTTGGAGTTGGGAAGTAATGCCGAAACTCTTTTAAAAGTTGAGACAGGTGACCATGTACCAGCTGGGGGAAAAAAGGCCCTGGTTCAGTCTTTTTCAAAATCTCTGCTAACGTTTGAAACATGTCAAAAATTCCAACATTGACTCATCACCCCACAATTCCAGTTTGGCTTCGAATGGAGTCACTTTATCTGCCGACTTGAACACAGTTGTCGTTTTCCCCTGACTTCGTTGAGCAGGTCGAGGATGTTGCATGAGTAAGCAAGATTTGCAACCCATTCTTGTCACTGAAATGTGCTGCCAGTGGTGACTGTTTTGCTAAAAGAGAGCTCTGGAGCCGCTCTCGTAAGTTAAAAACTCTGGACCATGATCTACCTTTATTTTTATTTTTATTTTTTTTTTATTTTTTGAGTTGGAGTCTCACTCTGTCACCCAGACTGGAGTGCAGTGGCCACTCCTGGCCACCGCAGCCTCGACCTGCTGGGCTCCGGCGATCCTTCCGCCTCAGTCTTCCAAGCAGCCGGAATTACAGGCATGCGCTACCATGCCTGGCTGATTTTTTGATTTATTGTAGAGATGAGGTCTCGCTGCCCAGGCGGGTCTCGAACCCGCGGGCTCAGGCAATCCACTCACCTCAGCCTCCCAAAGGCGTGGGATTACAGGCTGAGCCACCGAGTCCGGCTATGATCTACCTTTAGAAAGCCATCTCAATTCCACGTGTAAGACGTGTGTGTGCTCTGCATCCATCTCCTCACAGAGTTGCACGAACAGACATGTACTTTAATATGGTTGATAATTTTAATCACATCCTGCAAAACATTGTTAGGCTCAGGTGACATTTTTCAGCTAGCCAGTATTTCTCTATGGATGACACGGTGCATAGACTCACATTCAGAAGTGACTTCTTTAACCCTAATAGTGAAACCAGAAAGCCGTCCAGTCATGGCAGCTGCTCCGTCTGTGCATTTACTGACACAAAACGACCAATTCAGTTTTTCTGATATGTAATCATTCAAATACTTGAACAGTTCTGCAGCTAAGGCATTGGCTGGCAATAAAAGTGCACACAACATATCCCCATGCACACCCTCCTGAAAAATATATTGCACAAAAACAAGCTTTGTTGCCTTGTTGTCAACATCGGTAGAATCGTCAACCTGGATTGCATACCATGACTCATTAATCCCCTCTAACAATCGTACCTCAATATCCTCTGCTATTTCATCAATTTCTCTAGTTACAGGGCCAGTTACATGCCACTTTTTGAACTGAAGCCTCCCCTAGAAGATCAAAACAAATGACCTTAGCAGCAGGCAGGAGCAACTCTTCACCAACTGTAAAGGACTTCTTAGCTTTAGCAATGGGGTTAGCCACAAAATGATGTGCTCAGTGCAGATACATTTGATGAAGTGATGGCCTTCATTAATTGCTTCTGTTCTTAATGTCCACTTGTTTTTCTTTTGAAAAACTCAAAGGCTTGTCTTTTAATGCGGGGTGCTTGGTCTCCGTGTGGTGAAGCAGTTTTGAAGGTTTCATGGCGTCGTTGCATAGTCGGTCATCACATATTATACAAAGCGGGCTTGGAGAACATGAATCACCTGTGCCAATCAATGAACCTATAATTTAAGTTGGACTCTTGGTATTTTCTTTTAAATGCAGCTTTCTTTTTGTTGGTAGTCTTCGAGTCTTCTGCTGTCTCATCATTGAGTCTCTCCTCCTTTTCAAAGAAGCTCTCCAGTGACATTTTTTTTTTTTTACTCATTTTGGCTGGAGTTAGCTTGTGGGCTCACCAAACCTGTGACTGAGACAGGTAACTGCACAGTGTGGGAAAGAGGCACAGACAGACGTGATAAACTAATAGGCAGACCATGCATGGACTAAAATAAGTGTTGGATTCCAACTTCAAGTCTGCCACCAGATACAGCTGTACAAGACCATCAACTAACTCACTCGCCACTCACTGATAGGGTTTTGATGTGAGTCTGCAAGCATGATTTATTATGGTCTCTGTGCAGTCAAACCTCATTTGCAGCCACTCCCAGCACCAGCATCACTGCCTCAGATCATCGGGCATTAGACTCTCACAAGTAGTGCACAACCTAGATCCCTCGCACGCACAGTTCACAATAGGGTTCAAGCTCCTAATCTAATGCTGTGATGGGAAGTGGCTATAAATACAGACGAAGCTTCACTCACTTGCCCGCCACTCACCTTCTGCTGTGTGGCCCAGCTCCTAGCAGGCCACTAACTGGTGGCCCAGGGGTTGGGGACCCCTGATTTAAACCACCAAGTTTGTGATACTTTGTTACAGCAGCTCTAGCAAATGAATACATTACTATACAACAACCAGAGAAGAATCAAATCAAAATATTAAGACAGCCACAAATCTCAAAGTAGAACCTCAAATTTCCAGTGCGTGGCCAATAATCCTGACAGATCACATACTTTTAAGAATCTAACGGAGGCCACTTTCAAACAGACACGAACATTTTTCATACTGTACAATTAACTCAAGAGGCTCACCAATCCTTCGCAGTCCCAATTTTGAACACTGCCAAAGATGCATAGACCTTTGATTAACAACCCCTGCATTAATTTATGGTATCTATGAGAGGGCACAAAGCCAATCACACACCAATCTTTTAACAAGAAAATAAACACTGTCTGTACTATCACTGAATACAAAGAATTCAAATGAACTAATGGCAAAACTTTTCCTCACTGTGTTTGTTCTTAAAGAGGTTTAAGAGCACAATACTTTTTAAAATGTGTGTATAATTATATCTGAAAAGAAGTAAAGCTTTTATCACTTTTTATCATAAAAGAATGGAGTCTAAATACAATGCTCCAGATAACTAGATGAAGAAAATTTTTATAGGCAGACTATAAATTCTACTTAAAAATATGGACCTCGGCCGGGCTTGGTGGCTCAGCCTGTAATCCCAGCACTTTGGGAGGCCGAGGTGAGT